TCTCTTTCCTTTAAAAAAACTACTAAGCACCCATACATAGTATCTTTCTGATGAAAAATGAACGAATATGCACAACTTTGTGAAACCGGTAAAAACCGGCCGGTCCAACTCACTCAACCGGTCCGGTGCGGCCGGACCGGACCGGTTACAACTCTGATTTCAAGCTGGAACTTAGGCATATTTTAGTGACATAATGTAGAAAAAGAGCAAAAAGAATTAGTGAAAAAGGTTACATACTGGTGGAGTTAAGTGATTGTACCAGGGATCCCAGATCCAAAACACAAAAAGCAGAAAAACCTGAGAAAAAGAAGTAGAAGATCAGTAGACGTTAGGGCAAAATAGAGCAGAAACGAGGAAAAAAAGGTTCCAAAAATCAGAACTTTTCTGCCAAAAGCAGAACATCTGGGATCCCTGAAGTGTACCACACTTTTGGTGGAGATTTGTCTCAATACTTCAGGTAGATCAGTTTGTTCATATCGGACAAAATTATGCTGTGTTTGTCGTAATTTATGCGGAAAATGCTTAATATATGCCATCCAGATAATCTCCACTTTTCGCATACTCTTGGCGCTAAAAACAGAGAAGCACCAATGCAACTGTTGTATCATGTGAACGAAACCAGCTAGAGTGATGTTTTCAGAGATGTAAGAATTGCATTCAGAAATGTATTTCGAGTTGCGCGAGCTTTCTGTGATGTAATCTTTACCTTAGTATAACTGATAATAAAATAAAGTTGTACTGTACTTGTTGACTGAGAAGATCTAAGAATAATCAAATGATTGTTATGTACAGTACGTCAGAGAGTTTCCAATTGTCAATCTTTGTATGAAATAGATCTTCATTTGCACTCACTATGACCTTAATCTGTGTTTTCTACTAGTGTGCATTGCAAGTAATTGCTAACATTCGCACAATTGTAGCATTAAATCAAGAACGTTTTCTTATCTGTAAATACGAAGATATCTTCAATAAAGCGTTTCGGTAATGTATATCTCACTTTAACGTCACGTTTATTGTTGTTGGTAAAGTAATCACGTGGTTTGGTTTGTGATGGCCAAGCAAGCTGAAAACAAATTACTAACTACTAACCGAGAAGTCAAATAGAAATGCTTGTTTACCAGTTAATCTGTAACAGTAAACATATATCATTTCTGATGTCATATCTCAAGGAAACTGCCCTAACGCTCCATATGATAATTTGCTAAAACTCAACAAATAGTCCGAAATGCATACTTTAAGAACTTACATAATTTGTTACCCTCTGGAAATCCTTTCTAATTATGTGCCCTATTTGACTAGGAATTATAAAAAGAGGTATTTTTCAGATATTCTACGTAATCAATATCCATCTACATGCTGAATACAGAGTTCAGTTAGGTGTTTAAACGGACAGAATGGCAAAATTTCTCTCCATGACAATATGCGAGATCATTCTCTGGGACTTTATATGAGGAAGTTAAGAAAGATTTTCTACATCTCTAAGGTGCAATAATAACGCTTCATTTACGATGACGTATTATTGTTTCCAATGTGGCTATCGTTGAGTAAGGTACATGCTTTTGGAAAACAACTAAGTGGAATAGAATAACATTTTTGTTTGAAAAAAACAAATAGGGCGTCAAAAAATAGCTAAAGCACTTTTATAACTTATCTTTTAATTTCTGCAACATCAGAGCAACTTTCATTCTCGTTTTGAGCTGTTTCAAACTTCAATTTAAGCACTTTCTGTAACGAACGGAGATGGGATGAAATTCAAAATTTGCTTTAGCCTTTATGCTGATTGGTGTTCCTAGAATAATTTCTATCATTTCAATTTTGTATATTATCAACAATCTCAACACTTTTTGTTTAGGAAAAGAATTTGGACCATTCTGTTACAAGCATTTGGATATGGAATAGCAAACTCATACATATTTTTTTTCAAGTCCGCGTTGCTCGCGGTTGGGATGAAGCTAATGAAACACAATGACGTGACGTTTTTCGATATTATGATGTAAGTACGTGCATACTAACATATAGCCGCTTTTGTGCATCTGCAATTTAACTGTCTCCGCCAGCAGTCAACATGTTTGCAGAGTAAAAGAACTTTAGAAGGTACGGGATAAGGAAATGTGCTCAGGATAAACTAATTTCTCAAACATAAATGTCTATAACTTATACCTCATAGCGGATTTCAAATTTAAAAATATCTTCTTTCAGCTGTAAGAATTCAGTTTTTCTGACCAGAAGCATCTTGCATTTCTCTAATCTCAATATAAGATCGATAAAAAAGAATATTTGAAAACTCTAATAAGTCGGAAATGCTTCTCAAAACAAATTTTTGGTCTTGTACTTTTAAATATGCTTGAAAATACTTTAAATCTCTTTGTACGTTTGTACATACAACCTCTTATACTCTATTGAATCCGATTACTAAAAATAACGCAAAACATGTGCACGGCCTGTACACCGGTGTTTTCTACCGCACGTGTGGTTCCGCCACGGTTTTTCACTAAATCAAAATAGTCATAACCTTTTGACGTAAAAGGATAAAGACTCGAACACCATTTTCTTGGAAAGAAGACACAAAGCTCGGATTCTAGCGAGTTCTCCAAAAACTTTTGTTGAGGCGAAAAAATTAAAAGAATTTAGTTGTCTTTTGACAAAAAGAATAAAGTTCAGCGGTACTTAGTTTTCACGTCTTTTCTCCTCAATGAAAACTTTTGAATAATTATATTGAATCCAGTTTTAAAGAGCTTCATCTCTTCTTTCCAACGAAATATGGCTCGAATCTCTACTATGTTTCTTTAAAAACTTATGGCCATTTTCATTAGTGAAAAAAACTGTGACGGAGCTAAACTTGTGATAGCAAGTTTCGAAAGGCAGCAGAGCTTCGCATAGCTTGGACAAAAAAATCTTTGAGTACATGGATTCGGACCGGACTTGACTCACACTTTCAAGGCCATAGACTGGTCTCGACTAGAAAAAAACTTTTGGATTCAGTTGAATCGAGGAAAAACAGATTGTTTTGTGGACGGGGCTGGACTACTTTGTTAGAGTCCATAAACTGAAAAAAATTGCTTTTTCTCGAATCGGAGTGGACTGGGCTAGAGTATTTCAGTCCATGAACAGGATCGGAGTGAACTCAGAATTTTTTGAGCCCATACGGCGCCCTGCTAGACAGACCGTGCATCATATCGAGAAACAGGCGATGATCGTGGTTATTTTAACATTGAGAATTTAAGTTTAATATTTAAGTAGTTGGAGGTTAAAGCCTGCAATGTGTCTCAGAAAAATTTAAATTAATATGCTGAAGCTGATTTACCGACTCTGACATCAAAAATACCGTTGAAATCATAGTGAAATTCGTTATGAACTCGGCGATTGACAGATAATTCCATAAATAACACTGCCTTTGCTTTTGAATTAGAAATCATACTCAACATATACGCTTAAGTCTACCTTAGATTCTTAAGGGATTTGAAGTGAAATTTGAACTCTTTGATGTTTTTTTGAAAATGATCGATATTTTTCGTAAAAGAAAGTTTTCACCAGATTTTTGAGTTTTATTTTACTGTAAACTTATCGCTTACATGTTAGGCGAGAGTCTGTTGTTGCGTGTTTATCCTCACCCTAGTTGGAAAACATTACTTGCTTCTTGTAAATGTCTTTTACAAACATCGTTTACTTTCTGCATGCATAAAGAGCAATAAAGGCTTAGAGAACAACTTGTTTTCAAAGGTAGAGAAGTAAAAACCTTGTGATGTATTTCAGTTCTGTTCTGCTGTAAGCCTATCCATGAACTGAAGAGTTCGAAATACTTCTTCAAAACAAGCTTCTTTCGTACGTCAACTTTTATTGCATTTCATTTTTCACCTAGTAAAATAGAGCCGCGCTGTTTCTAATTTAAGAATATAAAAAATCTTCCAAAACAGACTAAATAACTGTTTTTTCATCTATAAAATAAAATAGAGTAAGCGGTAGCTACAAAAGTTAAGAACATGATCAATTCAATAATTCGAACTAATTAGGATGTCATTCTCTGCATGTGTTCGATTCCAGCTAGCTGTGCATTAATGTTTGTTCAGTTTGTGAGAAGGCCTCTGACTCCTACGCAGGGGCTGTTTGAAAAGTGTCATTCTCACAGGAGTCAGAATCTAATCATTCAATAGCTCTTTATGTTTCCTGTACGAAAATTGAACTTTATGTTATAGTATTTATTATATAATTCTGGTTTCGTCGGTGTTGACTGGTCGCGCGATGTCAGTATTACCGGATTTCTTCAGAGGACACAAAAGCGTGGTTGATATAATAGAATTGAATGAACGAAAGTCCAAGATAAATCCTGAGACAGAACACGGACAAATAGTGGTAAGAAGTAGTTGCTAATACGCATAAGTATAATTTTAACCTGGATAATACTACCTACAACAGCATCATGTGAAAGGAAAAATCCAGTTTGTTGATGTTCAATTTTGCTATCCGTCTCGTCCAAATCAAATAGTGTTGACAAACTTTAATTTGACATGTGAAGCCAAATTAATGACAGCAATCGTTGGACGATCAGGTACATACGGACATAATATATGACGTCCAATAATTTGTTCAACTCTGACTTGATGTTAATCAATATATGTTTTAGGTGAGGGAAAATCGACCATATTTTCTTTATTGCTGCGATTTTACGATCCGGATAAAGGATCAATTCTGATCGATGGCATTGATATTAGACAATTGAATGTAAGGCATTTACGATCTCTCTTTGGTTTTATTCAACAAGAACCGATCTTGTTTGGGAACACTATCCGGGATAATATTGCATACGGTGATACAACAAAAACGTTTAGTGATGAAGAAATTGAGCGTGTTGCAAAAATCTGTCACATCCATGATACCATACGTTCACTGCCTAAGGTATATAATTAAAGAATAAATGAATGATTATGATATGAAACTCTTTTAGGGCTATCAAACGTTGTGTGGAAATAAAGGAAGTCAATTGAGTGGAGGGGAGAGGCAACGTATTTGTTTAGCCAGAGCTCTAATTCGTAATCCTCATATATTGCTGCTGGACGAAGCGACGTCATCTTTAGATCGACATAGTGAACAGGTTTGTTTTCTCGCTGCTCGTGTAATTATAATTACATGTACCTTTTGACTGTAGTTGATTCAAGAATCGCTGAAGCAAGACAAATGGAACCGTACGTGTTTAGTTATCGCTCATCGATTATCAACAATTCAAGACAGTGCTAATATAGCAGTTATGCATCGTCGAAAAATTAGAGAACAAGGAACACATCAAGAATTAGTGAAAGCAGACGGATTGTACCTTCAGTTATTAAGAGCCGAAAGCAGTCATAAGTGAAAACTGCTTCTGTATTTTGGCTATGAGTGTTTACACTATAAATATCTTTGAACCTATATTTAACAGAAACTATTTTCTATTTTTTGCTAAGAACCTGCTGGATGAGATTGGTAAGAAAACAATGCATGGCATAAGAACAAGATGTCCGTCTTATCGTTTTATTTTCTGTTCAAAAGTACGCGACGAAATATATCATCGAATCATCGTTCTTATAACAACTTTTATCTGCGTGATGCTACACATTTCCCTGAGCTTTAAAAGCAGAGTAATGCTCACTTCACCCTCTAGTCAACGTTCGCAAAAGTCGTAGATGAGAGCTATTGTGAATCCTTCTGATCTGATGTAAAACGTTCGAAATTTGATATGTTAGAAATATGCTTCTGGAGACCCATTTAAAGACACTTACAGTAGAAGGCTGGAAGCATTTGTGATCGATACGGCACTGACGCAGGACGCTATATGGAATAGCAAACTCTATTTTTTTTCGAGCCCATGTTGCTACTGATTGGGGCGAAGTTCATGGGAAATGAAGCTGTGAAGTGAAATTTAAATTTTCTAACTTTTTGTAAGAATAGCTAAAACCTGATATTTTTCGCAAAATTAAGAAAATCTGATCCCACCCCTAAATCATTGCAAACATGATGTAGTCCGGCTTACTAACTTGACGTTTCAATTTTTTTGTAATATCTTATGACCGTGAAAAATTTTAACCTTTGGACCATAGTGAAAACCCTCATCGCTAGCTACAAAGCGAATCAATTTTTTTCTATTTAGACGAAGCCAATCTTTTATGTGAACAGACTGGCCATATAGCCAGGAAAAAAACTCCGCATTATTTTTATTCAGTTCTCTCTTGTTCCTGAGATATAGCAATTTCTAAATCACAAGCGAAAAAGTCGGAATTCTGACGGTAATTCTGTTTTCTCGAACATAAGTCACTTTTTATGTAATAAAAGTATCATATTCGGGGTCACCGCCGAAAACTGAATCGAGTGATATACTTTCTAATGCTATCAGAACACTTTTGTTTTTTTCGAATTTTTATATAAAAAAATATTGAGATTTTCCCAAAAATGAAAATCAACGAAAGATTTCGAAATATATATCATTCGACTCAGTTTTCGGCGGTGACTCCGAATATGATATTTTTATGGCATAAAAAGTGGTTTCTGTTCGAGAAAACAGAGAATTAGCGTCAGAATTCCGATGTTTTCGCTTATGGTTTCCAATAGGGCAAAGTACGGCCGTGGTGGTCATTCGCAGCAAGTTTTTTATGGATGGATAGATTCTAGTTATCTGATGAAGAAGGTGAAAATTTCGAACAAAACTGATTACAAAATATGTGGATGACGCCTGTGATACAACAAAAACGTTTAGTGATGAAGAAATTGAGCGTGTTGCAAAAATCTGTCACATCCATGATACCATACGTTCACTGCCTAAGGTATATAATTAAAGAATAAATGAATGATTATGA